ATTAAGGTAGGCCAGGAATGTGAGGGCATTACATGTGCACTGATGATTTCGAGAGAATTCTGTGTACCTTTCATCACTTTGACAATGAGTTGCACTGACACACCAGAAGTGCTGAACTGCGTTGCTCTGTAGCTCCTCTGTCAGTAGTTCTTCATTGATGTTGTGGAAAGGCTGATCAAGGAATGGTAAAGGTGACATGTTATTGTTTAGTATTTAATGATATGCATTTCAAGGTTGAGCAAAAACATATGCAACTCTTGGTACAATGATGTAAGACATTTTTAAGTTGCAAGGGTTGTATAAATTTCGATTTTCTTGTAAAGTAACAACATTTTTAACTATGGTAAAACAATTCATAGTCGTGTTACGTTTTGTAAAGAAATGACACAAAATTCAGTTACAGGTTAAATGTGATTCAAACAGAATACACTGACATCCATCTTGATAAAAGATGTCACAAAGCCATGTTTGTATTTATTTGCACTGCTTTTCACTGTGGATGTCAATTTATCTGAAGCTTTAAGTATAAAATGGTATAAAAGTTTTTTCTGAACAATATATATAGAAATAGCTAAACAGACAGAAATAGCTGTTGAGATGTATATTTAGTAAGAGTTAGCAAGCATACGTAAGGTGAAAGACTAAATATCAACCCTGGTGATTATACAGCAAAGATCACATGCATACCAATTGGTTATAGACATTTGTGGGCATACCTTTTTAGGTGGAGAATTTGATGCTGTGTGGAAATCATCAGTTGCCCAGACTCGTTTTGCTGGTGGACGAGTGTCTGAAATCTGATAATGGGTTACATACAGTTAATCAAAATTATAAAACCTACTAACAGAGTTGAAACAGAGTGTAACACTGGATACTTTAAAGAAAACATGAAACAGTAGTGGTTACTAAACTTACAAAGCAATAAAAAAAAAATCCCTGCTGTTTGCATAATGGTGAGATGTAACCATTAATATGTCTATAACATGTAATTGTCTGTTGTAAATTCTTAATAAGAGGAATATTTTTTGATATTTACCTTGATACCTGGGGAACATAAGGAGGTGGGTCTATCCTGTGTTTCCAAGGATAACCTGGCTGGTGCCATCTAAACCAGGAAAAAGGGTATAGAAGACATTAAGTGACCTGACACATTCATTTCATTTAAATGCTCTGCATACCATGCACTATTATGCCAGTTGTGTGATATTGTAACAAAAAATCCTAAACTGTATGGGTAGGCGTTCTTAACTGTCTCAAACGTGTTTCGAAAACTGTTCAACTGTTTGTGATCACTACCATATCTTCATTACCTGGTCAGATGGAAAACTACTGACTGCCTCATCTTGGTTGTGGCCAGTGAGCATTGGGACAGCAGGATCGACCAGGTCAAGTTGTTTCCAGCGCTTCTTTTGTGCCTGGGATCTTTTATTTTTTCTCGGCATCTGGTAGAATGTCAGCATAAAAACAGAATATCAATTGTTGGCATTTAAAGCATGTGAACAGACCGAGCTTTCATTATAAGTCAAGCAAAATAACCAGGTAGCTGCATTGGTAGCCAAAAGATTTTACACTGACGTAAATGGACAAACAGTAAACAAATCAATAATTCTGATGTTTACCAGCAATTTGTTATTTTAACCCTCTGATACATTGATAGACAAGATGACTACAAGAACAAAAAAAAAAAAAAAATCTCTCTTTTCTTTAAATAGACATATTGATAGTGTCACTACCCGGTCTTAAGACTTTGTTAAGTAAAGTTCCATAACAGTTTGTATTAGAGATGGCACGATACCACTTTTTTATGTCCGATACCGATATCATAAATTTGGATATCTGCCGATACCGATATGAATCCGATACAGTGTTTTTTAATCAACAAAACTGGTTTTTTTTAAATATCTTGCTGCATTTTGTAGAAGTTCATACTCAAGTTTAAAACAACAACTACACTAAAGCTATTCTGTTATACCTGTATGCAAAAAAATATTTCATAGTTCAGCAATACTGATCAATCTAATAAACTTAAACCTACACCATCCTCCCTATTCTGGTATTTTAAAGAGTACTTAGCAGAAATATTAAGCAACCTAACTAATAGAGTTCCAACTCCCAGCGACAACAAAAATAAAAAAATAGGGAACCACCCCTCATGCGCCACCTCATGATGCTTAATCGACGTAATCAACCTTAATTTGATGCAGTGTGAAAAAAATGCACAGAAATCAATAATTTTTCAAGAAATATTAAATAGATTCAGCATCTTTCTTCAACAAAATTGCAGACTGCACAGATGGTACCTTCCCATTTAGTCTGATTTGATGTTACAATTAAAAAAGTGTTTTGATCTGAAGAGTTTGTAAATATCTGTATATTTGATGATTGTCAGCACAAAGAGAGAGAGAGGTAGAGAGAGGAGAATGAGGACAGAACAGAGACAGAACAAGAGCAGGTGAGACACACATGTTAGTCACATGGTTGTTTACCAAAAGTATCACCGTATCACAGGTCCTCATGCATCTCGTACCTAGTGTTTCTTTTTAGGTTTGTTATTTTTCAAATTCTATATTTATTAAGTTATGCAGCTTGTTTGCACAACAAGGCTAAATAATTATATGAACTTTTCTCAATCTAAATAGTGTACTTTGGTAGAATTAAAAAAATAAGTGTAGTGCAGGTCTATGATGATTTTTAGTGCTACTATCATCTAGTTCTGATTCTGGTTCTGTTTTGGTCAAGTCCCAAATAGTCCTGATTTTGAACTGTTGTAGTCCTGTTTTAATTCTGGATCAGTTCTGGGTCTGGTTGAATTGGGGTTTAGTCCTCGTCCTCTTGATGCAGCCCTGACTTTTTTCTGCCTTGCTGCTTAATTAAAAAACTAGTTTAAGGTGTCCTGCATGTGTGATATATATTTTTCCCTATATGAAGTCATTCCTTTTTGAACAAAACTCAAAACAGAGCCAATTAATCTTTCAGTCATTTCTAACCCCCCCCCCCCCCCCCCCCCAAAAAAAAATCCCACATGCATACTACCCTTTTGGGCTAAGCCCCGGGTGTTTCAAATGTCTGGCTCCGCCTCTGCTAGACACATTAAAAAAAAAAATCACTTTCGAAGCTAAATTTCAAACCAGAGAGAGAGAGAGATACGCTAACCTTGTCAAAGTAAATCACTTTCAAAGTCAATTTCAAACCGGAGGAGGGGCGGGACGCGGCGACAGTCGCCTCTTAAAAGTTTTAATTACAAACGATACCGCTGGAATAAAGTGACGTCCAAGTGCTAACCACAATCGTTTTGTAGATATCAGCGTCAAGACACAGAAAATCACTTTCAACGGTCAATTTCAAACCGGAGGAGGGACGGAGACTCTTACCTTCGCTGAATTGCCGCTAACTAGCTTTAGCATCATGATCAACCCACTAGGCAGACAAAAAGCGGCGTGAAACGCGATCGATTAAAAAAAAACCCATCACTTTCAAAGCTAAATTTCAAAGCAGAGAGAGAGATATATACACTTGCCTTGTCAAAGCTTACGCTGTCTTACCGAACAATTCAGAAAATCACGTTCAAAAGTCAATTTCAAACCGGAGGAGGGGCGGAGGGGCTTACCTATTCTCAATAGCCGCTAACTAGCTTTAGCATCGTGCCAATCTACACCACGAGACAAAGAAATCACCTAGACACTAAAAAAAAAAAAAAAAAATCACTTTCGAAGCTAAATTTCAAACCAGAGAGAGAGAGAGAGAGAGAGAGAAAGAGAGAAAGAGATACGCTAACCTTGTCAAAGTAAATCACTTTCAAAGTCAATTTCAAACCGGGAGACGCTTAATATCCGCTAACTAGCTTTAGCATCATGCCGAGCTTCACCATAAGACAAAGAAATCACCCAGACACACATAAAAAAAAAATCACTTTCAAAGCTAAATTGCAAACCAGAGAGAGATACACTTACCTTGTCAAAGCTTACGCTGTCTTACCAAACAATTCAGAAAATCACGTTCAAAGGTCAAATTCAAACCGGGGGAGGGGCGGAGAGACGCGTGCCGGTCAAAGAATACGGTACGCTGTCTTAGAAAATCACTTCTAAGGTCAATTTCAAACCGGAGGAGGGGCGGAGACACGCGCGCCGTTGATAGTGTCGTCATTGCGTTAATCCAAATAAGGGTAGACAGGCCGTACTACTCCCGGTTTACCACTAGAGAGAGCCAACACACCACAAAAGAAGTCTGTTTCTATGGGGCCAAAAGATGAATCTTTCTCATGGACCTTGAAAAGGGCCAAGATTTGCACTAAAATCTAAATATTTAAAAAACTATAAAAGTCATAAACACCAAAAGTCATAGCATTCTAGTCCAGACCCAGATGCACAAAATGATATAACACATGTAACCCTTGTCTCAAAACTGTGCGGCACATAAGCGCGGGAGATTTTTCACTAAAATATTAATATTTCAAAAACTATAAAAGTTATAAACACCAAAAGTCATAGCACACCATTCCAGATCCAGCCGCACAAAATGCGGTAACATATATGAAGCTTGTCTCAAAACTGCGGGGTGAGTTACCACATCATTCCAGATCCAGCCGCACAAAATGCGGTAACATATATGAAGCTTGTCTCAAAACTGCAGGGTGAGTTACGTGGCCAAATTTTAGGCGGAAGATTGAGAATAATAAGAATAATAAATCTGACGAATAGTAATAAGTGTGCCTTTTGGCATAGGCACACTTAATGAAGTCCATCAGTGGTTTGGACTCGTTACAAACGGCTTCATGGACATCGGTCCATTCATTCACTCACTTTCAGCTCGTTCAGAGTTTCCAGTTTCACAATAAAAGATAAAACAACAATAACCACCAAACTGGGCTGAGACGGAAATATTTCTTTATTACGATTTTTTTTATGTAAACTTTATTTCTTCAGAGTTCTTGTTCTGTTTGAGTAAAAGTCACGATCTCAAATATTTACTTGATATTTAGTTTTGCTCTCCTTGCTTTCTAGAACAAGTACAAGCAGAGCGGGAAGAAGGCGATGTCGTCCAGTTTGTACTCTCAGCTGCCGCAGACGGCCGAAACGCAGCTCGCCGCCAAGATGTCCGACATGCAGAGTGAAGTAAGATTTCAGCTGCTGTTCCCTCGGTTTCTTCTTCGCTCCTGGTTCCTCCTCGTGTCTGAATTAGTTCAGGATTGGGGGTCACTGGGCCTTAGGTCTTTCTTTTTCCCTCTGCAGTGTAAATACAAGGAGAACGGCATCAAGAGCCTCTCTCAGAGTCTCTACTCGCATCTACCAGAAACAGCCGAGACTCAGTTAGCACGAACTGTGTCTGAGCTGCAGAGTGAGGTGAGGAAAACGAGAGCATTTCATTTTTAGTTAACAGGATCATAGAGTTGTTGTGTCTGTTCTTGACTGTTAAACTAAAAGTGATTTAGTCATAAATCCATCCAAGTGTTTTATTATTACCTGCACAATAAACACAGAGGATGTAACTTTCTAAGAATCAGTGACTCAGTAGTTATTATCTTTACACCTGCAGACGCTGGTTCAAAAGTAAATCACAGTCCAAAAAGTGTCCATGTTTACGGTCTGTGAGCCGCCAATGAGACTGATGGCAACAATGTGGCTTTTTAATGTTCGGTTATGTTGTTTTGAACCTGCAAGCAAATATTCTGGCTGATGTTTTCTTTAGGCCAAGTACAAGGAGGCGAGCAAAAAGGAGGCGACCAGCTGTCTGTACCATCAGCTGCCTGAAACACTGGAGACTCAGCATGCTAAAGAGGCTACTGAGCTACAAAGTCAGGTACGAGACGTGACTGTCAGAAAACTATTCAAGAGATTTACGACTCTTTATTGACTTTGTGCAAGCATCATTAAATCATAGCAATCTCCCTCACATGGCACATGATAAATACCTGACATACATAAGAATACAACAGGCTGACACGTATTATAAAGTACATATTTTCCATACCAATATCAGTGCTGTTATTCTCATTTATCTGTGAATTTTATCCACCTTTCCAGGCACCCAGGGCTTGATGTTTTTATATGTTTAAAAACTGCAGTTTCTGCCAAATAATAATCCATCTGTTTTGAGAGGACTGGAGTGAGGAGCCAAATACAGACACCAAAGCAGATGGAAGTAACAGAAGTCAAGCTTTTATTTCAGTTTATAGAAAAAAGTTCCAAAATTATCAAAGTCCAGAAGGTGAAGTAACACAGATATCCAAGAAGTAAACACGAAGAAACATGGAGCGAATAACAGCAACAAACAGGGCTGCACATAAAGACGCCTCAACAAGAATATTGATAGTCTGGTACACGGCTGCCGACACGCTTCTTTGAGGGGTAGCTGTAGCTCAGGAGGTAGACGAGGTCATCTACTGATCAGAAGGTCGGTCGTTTGATCCCTGGCTCCCTGTAGTCTGCATGTCAAATATCCTTAGGCAACATATTAACCCCAAGTTGCTCTCGATGCATCCATCGGAGTGTGAATGTGTGTGAATGTAGTTAGTAAGCACTGAAAAGCAAAGAAGAAAGTGCTTGTGTGATTGGATGAATGTGCACTTTGAGTACTCGGGAGTGTAGAAAAGCACTATATAAGAATCGGAGCGTTTACTGCTTACACAAAGAGACACAGGAAGAACGCAGGTTAAAACAATCAATGACACGTGAGGAAAGTTCGTTACAACAGAAGGAAAACAGAGTTATTAAAGAAAGAAAACAACAGAAAACTTGGTTTGAAAAACAAAAAGACTGGAATAAAATCCACAGGAGGCAACAAACATTTCCACAGAAAAAAGGAGGAAAAGACTGAAGTAAGAAAGTCAATACGTACATTTTTCTACATGTTCATGTACAAGCACAAATTTGGCATCACTGTACACCTAAAATATTAATGCAGTCAGATCAGTTTTGTTCCCGTCACCATTCTGTTTCTTATATGAAAATAATTATTGTGTTTTTTTTGCAGTAGTTCAGACGTTTAAACTGACATTTAAAGGATAAAGTCCTGAAAATGATTTCATGTTTAAACGTTTTGAAAAGGCCTCAAGTTGGAGAAATGATTTCTGAAAAAAAGAAATAAAATTAAAAAATAATGTTGTTGTGTCAGGATTTTATGGCAGATTTTGTTTGTGTACTTTTTTGTACACGAGGGTGTCAAAAGGGTGCAAAATTTCAGGAGGGCACAAGGGTTGAACCCCCTCCACACACACACACACGGACACACAGACACACACACACACACACACACACAAAAACCAGGTACTAAAATAAAACCTCAAAACTCCACGAGTGCAATTAAATAAACACATCAATGCAAATAAATGTGTCAATTTTTATTTCAAATCAGAATTAATTAATTAAATATTAAATAATGACTTAAATGTAGAATAATGTTGTTTAAAACATTTAATACAGTATTTATCTGTTTACAATTGTATTTAATTAATTTCACTTTTAATTGATGATTTAGTGTTTGAAGTTTTGGTATCGGGTTTAAATTGTCAGGTGTTTGTGTGTTTGTGTGTTTGTTTGTTTGTTTGTTTGTTTGTTTGTTTGTTTGTTTGTTTGTTTGTTTTTCAGCAAGTTCGGGGTCCATTTTTGATTTCGTTTTTGTTCGGCTGAGTTTGAGTAGTTTCTGTCTGTGTCTACCATTTTTTCTGCATCGATTTTTTTTTTTTTAATTGAGCTTGACTTTGATCGTTCTCCCGCTCATATAAAACGTCTGTAGATAGAACAAATTCTGACTTTTTTATGTAGATTTTTTTCTGTTACGGTGTATGATTAACCGAGTATGTCTCTGCTCTCCAGGTGAAATACAGGGAAGGTAAGAAGGAGCTGAGCACCAACCTGTACTCACTGCTGCCTGAGACAGAGGAGATCAAGTTTGCTAAAGCAGTGACGGAGCTTCAGAGTGAGGTGGGCGGACGTCCGCAACGTGTAACAACATGTTGGTCCAATAGTTTCACTGCAGCTTGTTCTGTGTCATAAAATTGCTAAAAAAAAATAAATCCCAATGATTCATCGTGTTGATGTTGTTACAACATCCTAATTTACTGTTCTCATTTTTTTCTGGACTCTTTTTCATCATCTGACTCTGCATGTTTGTGCGCTGCAGAATAAATACAAGCAGAAAGGCAGACAGGACATCGGCAGCAGTGTTTTCCATCAGATGCCGGAGACCAAAGAGATGGAGTTTGTTAAGCACATCTCAGAACTTCAGAGTGAGGTGAGCTGCAGCATGCACCAGATTTACTCATTTACACCTATTTAGGTCAAATTTGACAAAATATGCTTCAAAACTGTGGAGTGTTTAGAAACTAACAGCCCTGTATGTTTATGTCAAGTACTGTTCTGTTCATGGTATGTAAATTTACTGCTTCTCTCAGAAATATAGCAAATATATCTCTCAATGTGTTTTTTCCTCTGTGCGTCTGGCTCTTCTAGTCAAAATACAAGAAGGACAAAGAGGATCTGCCCAACACTTTGTACTCGCTGCTGCCTGAAACTCTGGAGACTCAGTTTGTTAAAGAGATGGCTGAGACACACAGCGAGGTGGGAGCTGTGTGTGTTCACAGTTTGATTGCACATTGAAAATTAAGCATGTATAAAAATAAATCAAATACAACTCTGTGAATGTGGGGAATAAAAAAGCTTTCTGTGTTTGCTGTTTTTGCTGGTAACATTTTAACGTCTGGCTTCATGAACTTACTGTAAAAAAATCATAAATATGGAGGTCTTTAATTTGGATTTTCTTTCTGTCAGCTTTTTCAGTTTTAGAATTGAGTGTCATCTGCAAACAGCTGTATATTCTGTGCTCCCCGTGCTCCAGGCCTGCATGCTGCATACTTCTGTTATAAAGCTGTCAGTGCAAGCTCCAAATCTATTCAAACACAGACAGAATCAGATGAAGTGTGAGGTGCAGGCGTGTGCTCAGTGTCACTGAGCAGTTATTAATCTCCTGTCTTGTTTTCATCACCCAGAATAAATACAAAGAGGCGGGTAAGAAGGAGATGGTGAAGTGTCTGTACTCTCTGCTGCCCGAGACCAAAGAAACTCAGCATGCCAAGGAGCAGAGCCAGCTGCACAGCGAGGTACATTTAAACATGCAGCCACTGCTCTCTGAACCTTCATGAGCATGTTGTGAGTCAGCAGCAGGTTTGCTTTACAGGCGGGATTGTTCCCGTTTGCTGTTTTTGAACAAGGCAGGGCCAAATATCACGACGCACTTCCTTTGAAGTACCGGTGTCTTGATACAGAAGTGCTGATGTTGTATTTATAACACACATTTAATCGTTTTGTGAATGTTTGTGCAGCTCTGGTTGGAGACTGTCTCTACCTTTCAGATTCTTATTACAAATGCAGAACAAGTTAACAGTGAGATTTACCTGCTTTTCAGATTTTCTGTGCATTACAGTATCATTGGCATGAAGGTTTTTTGCTATGATAACAGTGTTGTTTCTTATAAAAAGGATGTTTGTGTAGTAACAGAAAAAATCTATTTAAAGTTTTATGGTTGAACATTGAGTTTTCAGGCAGGAGGGAGCAGCACATGGGAACAACTGCTGTTCAGCAAACCAACAGGGCATTTCCATTTGTTTACCTGTACACATGTGCTGCTGCACTTTCTGATGTTTTTTAATCAGTCTGTAGCTCGGTGCAGTGTTTCCAGTTTAGAGATGAAAATCATTAAAATCAGCTTAACTGTGTAAGTCAGGCAGGCGTCATTACATTCTGTTAGACCTCAGCACGCACAACTGTTGTGATCATATTTTTTGAGCAGATTTATAATGCATCAGCCTCATAATAATAAATATTTCATTATGAAATCTCTAATTATGCAGAACTTTAAAATAAATGCTGGTGAGACAGCAAAGCAAAATGCTGCACTGCTTTTTTAAAAGACGTCCTGATGTGGTCGGCGTCTGTTGATGTGGTTCACATGTTTGTGTCGCAGAAAGCTTACAGGGAGGAGAGCAAGAAAGAAGCCGGCTGTAGTCTCTATGCCCAGATGCCCCAAACCATCGAGACCGTGTTTGCCAAAGAGCTGAGCAAGACACAGAGCGATGTGAGTGTGACGCCGCCTTCACAGCATCAAGTCAGAGACACCAAATCGCTATTCGCGCTCAGTTTAACGAGCAAACGGAGCAAATTTGAGATATAAAAGCTGAGCTTTTGAAAGAGCAACAACAGAAAAATATTGAACTTCTCTGCATGTTTTTAAGCAGCAAAGCGATGAAACGTGAACATGGTTAGACAGATGTCACACCTCTGGAATTATAATCCACTCGGAGTTCACATTTCTAACTAAAGAGCAGATGGGAGGCATTTAAACAGCAACATCCCGCGGTCCTGTGTTACACACACACACAAATACACACACAGACACACACACAGACACGCTCATGGGAAGTGTTTTGTGAGTTGGTATCATTTTGTCTGTAGAAGCGTGAAAACAGGGAGCAGCTGTGGGGTGCTCCAGAGCCTGAGGACACAGACACTGACCTACTGTCCACCACACACACACACACACACACACACACACACACACACACACACACACACACACACACACACACACACACACACACAGTAGTGGCAGATTGAAGCTGATAAACTGGGACAGGCACACACTTCTCACAGACTCACTGCTGGAAACTGACACCTGTGACAGATTTTACAAACTGTCCACGAGCTGGACGCTGCTGATGTTCATGAGCATGTGATGGTGAATCTGGAGAGAGAAAGGATGACTGTGTTTCACACCTTTCAACAGTTCCCAGAAGAGTGCTTTGGATGAGAGATGAAGGTGTTAGGACAAGATGGATAAGATGCTCGAGGAAGTATAAAAAGATAGTCAGGATTAAAAACAGAAGGAGGCAGCTGAGTGGTTAAAGGCCTGTCCATGTCCCAGCTGAGGTGTGTCAGGCTTGTCCTGGTGGGTGGAGGCCTCAGGGCAGATTCCGGACACTGGAAAAGTTGTGTCTCTGTAAGCTTGGGAACACCTCCCAGGACAACAGGGCATCTGTGCTTAGACTCCTGCCCCGTCACCAGTGTAGGTGGAGTTAAAGACTCAAAGAGCATCAACAGTTAAAAAGTAGGTTTTATTTCAGATATGAACAAACTGCAGCAGAGAAAGGTCTTCAGCAATCACTGAAAGCTGTGCAAAACTCAAATTCTCTTCAGGATGTGACTGATGTGATGCACAATCATGGTCTTAGTGAGAGCTCTGATGTAGCTGTCTAAAGACATTTGGCACAAAATGCATGACGCAGCCTGCTCTCCTGTCTTTGTCCCGGCTGTGTTTACAGCCTGTCTGCTCCAACTGATTTGCACATGCTCACAGACAGCTCCACCAGCAGGGTAGCAGGAAACTTGTAATTGCTCATGATTGTACAGAGACCTGCTTTTGCTATTTTCTACATTAAGCTGAGCAAAGACTTTAAATTGTTATGCAAACTGTTGCTGCATCTTGCACTTGAAATAGCTGTATGGAAATAGTCAGGGGAGGAAAATGTGTTCACTTTAGCTCAAAAGTGAAATTTTGATTGTCTAGAAGAGTTAAATCCACTCTGTGGTGTTTTTCATTTCTGGTAACCATGAGTGATGTTTTTTACAGGCGTGACACATCGTTGGCGTGGTGTCAGTGTGAGTGGAGCAGGTGACGGTCCGGTGCATTTACTACTACAGAGTGGGCGTCATGTGTTCCACCTCCTGGATACTCTGCCCTGTCTGTTTGTTTTGTTTGTCTTTTCCCAGCATGTCAGCGTGTGTGAAGTGGACAGTTTTCAGCTATGTGCTACATGTGACCTGATTCTGCTCAAACTGTCTGAAGTGCTGGTGCAGAACACGAAATTCTCTGTTTATTGTACGGATGTTACACATGAGGGGAATTGTTTGGTGTCAATCAGCCCCGAGGGCAGAAAATCAAAGCTTTGGGTAATCTGGGACGCGGGCCTGATCCTCCTCTGGTTTCATGTCTGCTGACCGAGCAATGCGACGCTAACTGGAGCGCGAAACGTAGACCGCCTTTACATCAGCAGCCCAGACAATCCCAGTGTCTGTAAAACCCTGAAGGAACAAACCAGGACAATACCGTCCAGTATGCTGGTTCCAGTATCAGCTCTTTCCTATAAAACCAGTTTATTAACCTTCCTACTCAAAGGGTCCAGTTTGCGGCCAATAACAGAGCCAGATCAGTTTCTTCAGTCTGTCTGTTCTTCACGCTGCGCCACATGTGCCGCAATAAAAATAAAATGAAAAGGAGAAGCTAAAAAAATTCACCTCATTTAACAACAACAACATTACATTTTATTTTCAGGCACCAGTAAAGACACTCAAGGAGACCTTACAAGCAATTAAATAACAGTTTTATCCAAACTAGTTAAAACTCATACATCACTCATTAGTTTGTCCTTGTACTCCTGATATTATAGTACAAGTTTACAGATATGCAGCTGTTTTATGTTTATATGCAACATATCTAATGTTTGACAGTCTGCAGTAATTATTATTTTCTTCACAGATTCATAGACCTTAAGCATTTTTTTAAATGTAGGACTCTTATTTCTTTATAAAGAAATGACACATTAGCAATCAGTTGGTTTTTGAAACATGATTAAAGCAAAATCCAAACAGAAGGCGGCCGGTTTATTCTGCAGGCCTTTTAACTTCACTCAGTTTTTGTATTCATTTGTGCATCACGCTGTGAATTCCTCATTTTCACAGTTGGAAGTCAGCTCGTCTTATTTTTAGACAAATGAACGAGTGCGCTTTCAGACGCAATCCAGCACCAGGATGAATTAGTCATCTGATGTTTTCCTCCCTAAATTTATCAGGCTTCTGTTTCTCTGCGTCTCTCTTTTCAAATCCTCCACATCTCCTTTTCTTCACTTATTTAATCATTTTTTCTTCCTCAGTCCTTTTTGACTCTCTTCTGTCTCTCTGTAGAAGCTCTACAAGGAGAAATATAATCGGGAGAAGGGGAAGTCCAGCTACACCAACATGAAGACGCTTCCTGAGGTGGAGCACGCCATGGAGGTCAACAAGAAGCAGAGTGAAGTAAATATTTACCTGTCCGTCTGAATCAGTGATACAACAGCTGTTATGTAACGTTTGTTCGTATAACTGTGCCGACAGCAGCTCATCAGCAGAACTTAACAGTTTCTCTATTAAATTACAGTAAAACACAACAAGTAACAGTTATTTTGCAGTGCATCTGCCAAACCACTGTTCATGTTTTACTGTACTCTGCTGCATAACATTGCGCTGTCTGTGATTGGTTAGGCAAGTCTGATACTGAAGCTCTGAGCCGACTGATTTTACTCGTGGCTTCACCATCACCATATTTGTGTGTTGAAACTGGATCTGACGACTGAGAGCACAACGTTTGATTAATGAGTTGTTAACCAGTGAATGTGTAACCTGGTCCATCCTTCTATCAACTCCGAGGAGAACTGTAATTAAAAATGGACATTGTGTTTTATTGAGCAATGGTGCAGCATCATTACATACAAATACAACAAGACAAACTCACAGCAGGTGATGGGAAAAGAGGCGAGTCAGCGTTTGCACAAGTCGATCAAAAATTTACTCGGCTTCACGCTGCATCGCAAAAAACCTCAGCTGAGATTCTCCAAACACCACCGACAATCAGCTTATTAAAGCAAGGAAGGACAACGCTTGGAGAAAACGAATGAAATCTTTTTATTCTGAATTCTAAAACGATGCTGCCGTCAGTTTTAGAGGCGAATATTTGTGCTTTTCCAGAGCAAGTGTATGAAATCCCAAGAAGTCATCAGGAAAACGTTCTGTAAAGTACATCAAGGAAACAACAAACCTCTAACAAACTTCTAGATACTGGAAGTATCTTTGCAACCAGAGGAGGCGCCACCTGCTGGCCATTAGAAAGAATGCAGTCTATGTACAGTCTATGATATTAGACCACTAGCTGTTATTTTAGTCTTTCTACAACAGTGTCCTTTAAAGGTTAATACTGTAAAATATTATTATATTCACCTGTTGAATGTGTAAAATAGATTGCATGAATAAATATGTTGGCAAGAGACATGATTTGTGGTACCAGAAGCTTTCTGTTTCCATTTATAGTCCACGATTATGTCAGAGCTAATAATAAACTGGAATAAAAGGTGGAGGAAAAAGAGTCAAAGCTACCAGAGACAAACAAAGATAGTTGTCATCAGAGTGCAAGTGGAAAAAGCCCCACTGAGATCTGAGACACACAAGGGAACACAGGAGCGACTGGGAAAGGACTTAATTATATGATTTTTGTGCTAAAAGTGAACACCGTAGAGCTGTGCATGTGATCATCATGCTAGCTAAGTGGCTTTACTCATAGTGTAGACCTTCTGTTTCCCGACAGCAGCTTTCAGTGAATTCAGCTGTTTTTTTCTGTTTTTATGACCAGTGTGTTTAACACCTGCGTTTTATTTATGTTTTTAATTTTGAACTTCACTGCCCTTTTGTTTATGTTGGTTTTATTAGAGTAACTCCTCCTTTTCTCCTTAACCTCCTCTGCTGGTCTCAGGTCAGCTACAGGAAAGGTAAAGAGGAGCTTCATCACTACAACACCATCCCAGACAGACCTGACATCGTGAACGCCACCAACGCAGCTAAACTGGCCAGCGATGTAAGCGTGTGTGTGTGTGTGTGTGTGTGTGTGTGTGTGTGTGTGTGTGTGTGTGTGTGTGTGTGTGTGTGTGTGTGTGTGTGAACATGTAACCACGTTCCATCCAACACTCATTTCCATGACAACGTTCCTGTTCAGCTGCTTCTCTCTGAGTGGAAATGCTGATTAATTATAGAAAATGTTCTGCTCTTAACACTGAACTGTCATTATGTGCGAGTGTTTTGTAGCTTTATGGGAAAGTGTGACGTGTGTGTGTTTGTATTTCTGTCTTTGTGAGGACTTGTTTTGGAAAGTGGGGACATTTTGACCCGGTCCTCTCTTTGGGACAGACCTTCAGGGGTCTCTTTGAGGGTTTGGACTTAGAAGTAGAAAGTATGTGTTCGGCTGTAATAACATCCACTTAGCGTTCTTTGTACTTTACAAACAGGAACTAGTAACAGCTAATTCAGTGCTAACAAATGTACACAGACAACGATGCACCAGGTTCACTAACAAGAGGGTTTGTGGAGAATACAGCAGACGTTGTACGATAATGTCAACATTTAAATAGAATTTTGACTTTATTCTCAAATTATCAATAATATATTATTTATATATTTATTTATTCATTAATTTATTCATTGTGTGGCCCTAATACACTGCAGCAGTTTTTAGTTTGTATTGAGGGGCTTTGTCTCTGATTGTTTTCAGTTGGGTTTACTTATTTTTTACCTGGTTTTGTTAGTATTAGATGCTGTTAATATATATTATGTGGATGATGCTGCCAAGGGCAAAATGTAAGGATTTTGGAACAGATATTACAGTTAAATCTCCTTACTCCCACTCAGACGTCTCAGTCTCAATAAATATCTGCTCCGGCGCCTCCTGATGCTTGTAAAGTTCACAGATTTATCAAATTACCTAAAAACTGAAAGTAAAATAACTACGTTTAACTAAAATGTCTTTTCACAGCTGTTTTAATCTTTTTGTATTTGTTTTATTTAGTCTTTCTTGTGTGTTTGTGACATCTACAGGTGACCTATAAGAGTAATACTAAGCAGCCCGTCTACAGTGACGAGTCTCTTCTGGCCAGAACCGACATCCAGCACGCCAAAGAGGTCTCAAAACTGGCCAGCCAGGTAACACATAGCCTTCCCAGCATGCACTAGTAGCCGCTTTGCAAGTGAGCACTATAATGTGTGGTTAAAAGACTTGGAAAAGATACACTTGCATTTAACAGCTGATGTCTCTGTTTATCGCTCTCCTGCAGGTGAAGTATAAGGAGAGCTTTGACAGACAGTTAAAGGGGCAGAAACCTCAATACAACCCGCTGGACTGTGTTTCCTTCAAACAAACGCAGGCTGCTGCTGCTCTGGCCAGTCAGGTGAGTGAACCGTGGTCACATGATCAGTCACACACAGGTTGAAGTTCAAATAAAGCATGTGATGATCGTTCATCAGGTTTTTTTCTGAATGTAGGTCAGCATAGTCTAACTGGGTGAGTATGAAAGTGCACCACAAAGGAAAGCTGTTAAAATGCCTGCATGTGTGTGCTGTGTAGTTTAGTGTGTCCATAGTTTTCTATAAAATTCTTTGTTTTTATTTTATGCCTAATGGGAAAGCAGTGCAGAGTGGGAACAATATTTTACTCTTTGACTTCTGTGGGCTTCATTATATTAAAGTTGGGTGTTGTTCAAGCATTATGCTTTAATGTAATCATTTTAGTTACTTTTTTAGTTACTGAGTATTTGAGTTTTTGTGAGTCTCATCTCTGATTTTTGCGGATGATGTGATTCTGTTGGCTTCATCGGGTGAGGGCCTCCAGCTCGCACTGGAACGGTTCGCAGCCGAGTGTGAAGCAGCGGGAATGAGGATCAGCACCTCCAAATCTGAGGCCGTGGTTCTCAGCCGGAGAAGGGTGGAGTGCCCACTCTGGGTCGGGGACGAGTTTCTGCCCCAAGTGGAGGAGTTCAAGTATCTCGGGGTCTTGTTCGCGAGTGATGGGAGAAGGGAGCCGGAGATCGACAGACGGATTGGGGCTGCAGTAATGCAGACGCTGCACCGGTCCGTCGTGGTGAAGAGGGAGCTGAGTGTAAAAGCGAAGCTCTCAATTTACCGGTCGATCTACGTCCCTGCCCTCACCTATGGCCACGAGCTGTGGGTAGTGACCGAAAGAACGAGATCGCGGATACAAGCGGCAGAAATGAGCTTCCTCCGAAGGGTGGCTGGCCTCTCCCTTAGAGATAGGGTGAGAAGTTCGGCCATCCGGGAGGGGCTCAGAGTAGAGCAGCTGCTGCTCCACATCGAAAGGAGCCAGCTGAGGTGGTTCGGGCATCTGACAAGGATGCCCCCTGGGCGCCTCCTGGGTGAGGTGTTCCAGGCATGTCCTACCGGGAGGAGGCCCCGGGGCAGACCCAGGACACGCTGGAGAGATTATATCTCCCGGCTGGCCTGGGAACGCCTTGGTATTCCCCCGGATAAGCTGGAGGAGGTGGCTGGGGAGAGGGAGGTCTGGGCCTCTTTGCTTAGGCTGCTGCCCCCGCGACCCGGCCTCGGATAAAGCGGATGAAGATGGATGGATGACTCATTCTTTTTTTATATTTTACAGAATAATCGGATTTTTTCCCGTAGATCACCTGGAGACATTTTTTTTCTTTTAGTCACTGAGATAATCAAGTCGAAGAGGGAAAAAGCTGTGTGTGTGTCGTTCTCTTTCACACACACACTCACGAAAAATTCAGTCTGTTGTGTGGGCGTAACCATGGCAACCTTTCTAAGGCAAATGGAGAGGGATTGTGGGATGAAAGCTGGAGAAGTTGAAGAGGTTACACACACACATGCTGGTCTATCTGCAGTTGTGAGGACATTTATTGATATAAGCATTCCTCTTTCTCTCGCTCTGAACACCATCATCACTATTAAATATTAAACAAATCTAAGCCAAATATGAGCCCAGCTCTAACATGAAACCTAAAACTACATCTGAACCTCGGGCAGCCCCCTGGAGTTCAGATGTCTTTACAAAGTCACCATAAATTTCACTCCAAACAAACAAAAAGAGAAAATAAGAGCTGAACAGTGAAAAGAAGCACCATACAAGCACAAATAGACACACACACAGAGGCAGCCGTTTTCGTCCACTCACTGCCCACACAGCTGCAGGAAAGAGCCTCCCCACTTCACCGCATTACATAACAGCTTGTTGTGTTGAACGCTGCCCGGCGTTCAGGAGTGCTGCACGTTCACACAGTGCTGCATTTTTAGAAAAGCCTCTCTTTGAGACTCAGCATCATGATACATAGGCGGATCTCTGAATGCAGGTTTTTAGTAGAAGAGCTTGTTGAAAAGGGGGCTGAAACTGGAACCGATTTTGGCAACACAACTGAAGAAAACATCAAAGTAAAGTGTTATATGTGGAACTCAAAGGGAAATTTCTGTTTTTTTTAATACTTCTCACACTTTGCTGTTTCTGCAGACGATAGAAAATGTGGCTCGTGTGATGTTCTGACCCTGAGATTGGGTTTGCTGTTTGAACAGCATGATGATGAACTGAAGCCAGAACATCTTTACTTGGCAGAGAAAGAAGAGAGCTTTACAATGACTGACCCTGATGGACATTAATGTCTGTAAAATGTCTGCTCATCTTTAACCTTTAACCAGGAAACATAATCACCACACGTCACTCTGAATCACTGTGATGCTGGATCCGTTTTGGATACCAAAGGCCCCAGTAGTTCTCGAGCACAATGGCACAGTGATTTTTTTTAACCCTCTCAGGCTCAAATGAAACTTTTTGTTGCTAATGCACAACCAAGTCCTGCAGTGGTGCTTCTGAGAAAAAAAACTCAGAAAATATGTATGTGGGGTAATCAGGTTGTTAGTTTTTAACTGCTGCAAATCGGCAACGCCTGCCTTGAGAGGGTTAAACATATGCAAACATGGAAACATGGTATATAAGGTGGAACCAGAGTTTGTACTCACCTAACAAACCACCTCGGCCACCTTGTTCAGCACAGCCTGAGGCACCTTTCTGTCTTCTTTGGATATTTCTGAATTTTGTTCCCTCGCTACTTCAATAATGTGGAGTTTCAAAGGTCAGTGTTTAAAAAAAAAATCTGAAAATGGTCAGATACAAAGACTGAAAATGAGTGAAAAAAACCTGTTTTGAACGTTTGGAGAGCTCATTACAAGAAAGTCTGGCTCCTCAAAGAAAAAAAACGAGGTGTGGATTGAGACCTTTACACAATAAAACATCTTTGGGAACGTTTTTTATCCCACCTTCTGCAGATTTATGACTAATAACAGTCCCCTTACTCTTATTTTGATAGTTGAGCTACAGCTAACCAGCTGTAAACGAGGCCTGGCCTTTCACGTCGTGCTTCTTTACTATGGTCTGCAGAGTCACTGTGATGGTGGACCTCCGGATGATTAATCTGCTTCTCCAGAAAGAACCTCGTCCATGTTTAGACTTAAACATTTCTATAGCGCGAGGTTCAGTTAGCTTTGTGAAAAAAGTAGCTGGTAGAAATACCCTCAAAAGAGCTACTTCTTACTTTCTTTGAGATTTGTATTTGACATTTCAGAGCACTTTGTCAGTTGTACTTGAGTAAAGACGTTGCATCTGTACTTCAACTTTTACTAGAGTGTTTTTTAACACAAGTATCTGCACTTCTTAAGTACAGAATGTCTGTACTTCTGCCACCTCTGGCAGAGCATCACTTAAAGCTGCACAGATAAGTGAGTAAAACCAGAGTGAACGGGAACAAATAAATCTCTTTGTTTTGTGATTGCCAACCTCGCCATTCCTTAAAGGAATCACATGTGCCCTGAAATCATTTTAAAACCCCTGGAAAACCTTGAGTGCTGATATGCATTTTTCCTGTCTTCCAGGTGAAATATAAAACCAACCAGAACCAGAAACCAGACGGTTCTTCCGACCTCCCGAACCTCCTGCAGCTGGAGCACGCCCTGCACGCCACCAAGCTTCAGAGCAATGTAAGCCACATGCTGTTAGACAATAATTCAATATGTTAGACTGTCAGAGAAAAACTAGCTGTTTCATAGAATAATAACAAAGATTATTATTTTTATTAAAGTGCTACGATGCAGCCTTCAAAATAAAAGTCTCTGCAAAGCCCATGCGGATGTTGCAGGAGTTAATAAAGAGTTTAACATCTGCTACCGACACACAATTACAATAACAGTCCTGCATTGTGCTCGTGTGTCTTTATTTATTTTATTTTAGTTCGTTGAGTGAGGACGTTGTTGGACTGGACTCGGGCTTATTCAGCCAGCCTTCTGCTTGTTGAATAAGCCTGTGCTTATATAAATAGTCATCTTGTATAATAGTGTGTGTTTGTGTATATGTGATCAGGTAGAGTATAAGAAGAAGTACGAGCAGACGAAGGCTCATTACCACACAGCTCTGCACACGGCTGAACAGCTCCACCACAAGGAGAACGCAGTGCTGCACAGCCAGGTACACACACACACACACACACACACACACACACACACACACACACACACACACACACACACACACACACACACACACACACACACACACACGCACACACACACACACAAGCAAAAGCTTTCATTGTCTGATAATTTCTAAACTTTACATTGTGTAAGTGCGTCTGATGGGTTTGTGTGCTTTGTTGTCTTCAGGTCAAGTACAGAGAGGAGTATGAGAAGAACAAAGGTCGCTCCCTGATGGAGTTCGGAGACACTCAGACCTACAAGGTGTCCAAGGAAGCACAGAAGATGCAAAGCGAGGTGAAACGTCTCTGCAGCTCTGACAGAAACAGACTTTATGTGTTTCTTTAGCTTTACACTCCAGTCAGAAGTTTCACTCTGAGCTTTGGATCCAGCAGATGAAGACTTCAGGTTTGGCGTGTTGTGCGTCTTTGGTTGTAACTTTTAAACTTTTTATGTGACATGTAGCAAATAATCCAAACAATATTTTGGCCTGCAGACTGGAGTGAATGAGTTTGGAGAAATTAAAGTGTTTTTATTTGCACAGAACACAGCGAGCATATATCTTCACTGCCTATTATAGAACTTTGAACACTGATTTCACAGCTGAGAAAATCTAAACCTAAAATAAATCATAACTCATATAATAATACGACTCCAGAAGGGGCTTAAATCAAGGAAAGCTATCATATTGTTTAAAACAGAGTTTAAAGTGTATGAGTGTCGTACAGAGAGAGTTCACAGCACAGCCACAGGTTATTAACGCTCTGCTCGCATCATGAACGATGCTGCAGCGTGGTGTCACTTCTTTTTCTGTCAATCGTTAACAACATGAAAACAAATCTGTTGTATTTTAGAGAAGCTGAGATCAGTGTGTGCCACCTGCTGTGGATCTGTGCCCCACAGTTTGACCAGTTAGACTCCAAATCAGCCGCTGAAGGAAACACCAGTGAAGCTCGGGCACGATGAAGCGATCGTACTTTTGTGGGGGTTTACAATTATTGGTTGTACAAGTATGAGGGTTATCGTGCACCTGTGCCTTAAAAAGCTACAAATATTAATGCTGATCACGTCTATCTGTGTGTCGTTGTTCTCTCACTGTGCTGTGTGTCTCTTACAGAAGGAATATCGGAAGGACTATGAGGAGCAGATGAAGGGCAAAGCCTTGGTGGACATCGACCAGACGCCTGGATACCTGACAGCGCGCCATGCTAGCAGCCTGCTGAGCGAGGTGACGTAGCCTCAGAGGGATGAACTATTTAAAGCCACGTTAGAGGTTTGATCAAGCTGTGCTCAAACCTGGAAGAGCAGATAATCCACTGATTTCCAACATCTTTTGGCTTGTGAAGCACTTGTGTTGTGGATTTTGGTGATTGTTCCTTTTTCTGGTTTTTCCTTTTCATGTCTTTTATTATCTGAACGATTGAAAGACAAAATCAGTGAACCCACATATATTTGTTTTAAAGAGTTTTAATAAGAGGAGGAGCTAAATGTATAGAGTATTTTGCTTATTTAAACAATATATGGCAGATTCTAAGGAGAGAAGCAAAGAAATCAACACATTTTTAATCTATTTATGTGAAATGAAGCACTTCACAAAGAAAAAGAACAAACATTTGGCTTTAATCAATCAAGCATTACTTTTAAAAAAAATCATTTACGTTTTCATTTTTAGTTTCCCAGTTTTTGCTTTTTTTCGCCCTTTCCTTGCAGAAAGAGTACAAGAGGGACCTGGAGCAGGAGGTGAAGGGGCGGGGCTTATCTGGTGTTGGTCTTGAAGAGACACCTGAGCTGCTGAGGGTCAGAAAAGCCAATCAGATACTGAACCAGGTAAACTAAAAACACACAGATTTCTGAAAGGTGTAAGTGGCCTGATCTGAACTGGAGTTCCAACTGTGGTGTTCACAGAAGGAGTACCGCAAAGATCTGGAGAGGGAGATTGTGGGGAAAGGCATGGAGCTGAGTGCTGATGTGCTGGAGATGCAAAGAGCCAAGAGAGCCTCACAGATCCAGAGCCAGGTTTGTGTCACCGGATTAAAGTAAATGGAAGTTCTTTCTCGGACATCTTATTCTTATAAAACATGCAGCCTGCGAACATTGAGCTGATGGTTTCTGTCTGCCTGATGCAGAAGTCGTACAAGCAGACGGAGCAGCTCAGAGAACACTCATACGGGTCGGTTACAGACACTCCTGAGCTGCTGCACGCCTCCTACCTCAAAGACGTCTACAGCCAGGTCTGTGTGTTAAAACAAGATGCTTTAAGTGAAACGACAAGTTCATCCCTCCAATCTAACCCCCCCACCTCCCCCGCCCCCCCTCTCTGTAGAAGAAGTATAAAGACGAGGCGGAGCGACTGAAGGGACGCTACAGTCTGGTTTCTGAGACCCCCGAGATGGAGAGGGTCAAAGCCAACCAGAGACACATCAGCTCTGTGAGTGCTCGGTGTCCCCACCATCTGTTCACTGTATTCCTGTTAATTATGATCGGCTAAAAGCTTTGAAGTTTTAGTTCCTGTGATTTTTATGTAACTTCAGGACAATGAAACAGTGTAGTAAATGCACAAGATTGTTGTCATTTTTAATCTACTTTTTATTATTTTTATTGTTGTTCATAATAACGTTTTCTTCTCATTTTAGTAATGATGACTTGGTGAGCACATGTTATTCTCTAAAAATGAAATTCATGAGTCATAAGCACAAATGTTTAGATCCGAGACTGCAGGCTTTGGGCACGTACACAGTAAAGTCTGTTCTTCGGTATTTTTCTATAAAAATCTTACACTACTGCCACAAACACCAAGAACAAAGTGTGCAAACGTAGGAACAGACATTGCATTTTCAGTCTACATTGACTGTATTGCTGCTATTTCAGAGATAAAACAATTCTTCGTTTTCAGGACTGGGATGAAGTTTATTAGCAAAGTTTTGCAGGGTCATTGTAGTCAGCAGTCACAGGCGGTGATATGTCTAAAAGGTTATACGACATAACTCTAAAGTGTTATTTACACACTTGTTACAGCAGCGTTTTCTTTCCTTTTAGCTGCGATACTGCTGGGACTCAAAGATGATGAGAAACCTGACGTCATCGGTCACAGAGACGCCAGAGATCGTCCTCGCCAGAGAGAACGCCAAGAAGATCAGTGACGTACGTTTACGGTTGGAATCAACAAACTTGTTTACTTGCTTCAGAAAAACAGTTTGCTTTTTTTATATGAGTGAATGTTAAGCTCAGAGAATCAATCTTCAGAACACTGAAGTAAAGTGTGTTTTTGAGTGGGAGTGGAGTTTAAGTAACCGCCACCAACAAGCAGCCTTTATAGCAGCAGATGACTCACCTCCAGCTCTGTTCAGGTCCGGTACAGGGAGGAGGTGGGTTGTGGCACCGCAGTCATGGACACACCTGAGATGGAGCGAGTCCGACGTAACCAGGAGAACATCAGCTCAGTGAGTACGCAGACAGCGGCCTCACAAAGTGAGCAGGGCAGCAGTCAGCGAGTCGTGAGGTTCGTTTGCACGGTCATGATGTGGGGATGAGGAGTGTGAGGACCGAGTGTGGCTCTGGGGCAGGAAGTCAGAGTGTGAGTGAGTCAGCTAATAGAACAGAACAATCATACATTCAGAGAGTGTCTCAAACACACTAACTACATGTTGGAGTCAGTGCTGGCTGACTGACAGCTTGTCCACTGCTTGAGTTAAATAAGCAGCTAATAACAGTAATAGTTTAGCACCACCTGATCTGGCTAACCTGATGACACCTGACCTGACATTTCTGATTTTGCCACCAGGTCAAATACAAGCAGAGTGCAGTGAAGGCCACCAGCGTTGGAGTGACTCCAGAGCTGGAGAGAGTCAAGCAAAACCAGGAGAACATCAGCTCGGCAAGACACACGCACACACACACACGCACGCACACACAGACACACACACACACACACACACACACACTCCTCGTGCCTATGGTACGACAACTTTTCTCGTGCCTATGGTACACCGCTCAGAAACACTTTGCCACACACACACACACACGCACGCACACGCACGCACGCACACACACACACGCACACACACACACGCACGCACAAACCAAAACAAACCCTCAGTCAGTTCCTCCAAAGTGTAGATTGTCTGAAGCGTCCTGGTTGTAGTGGGAAGGAGGCAGACGGTGTGTTAGTGATCGATCTGAATCACACAAACGTTTTATTTGCCACCACCACACTCAAATTGTCTCTTCAACTGCTCGCTGAGGTCAGAGGTTTTTGATAGGACGCACTTCAATCAGAGGACAGCTGATGAATGAAAGAAGAGCAGAAGTGATGACCGGGCCAAAGTGTGCAGGGAGTGAAGTAGAGAGGAATTTTACTCTGAAGGTTCTGAAACATAAATCTGCAACAAACTCAGACACACACACAAGTAAGTAATACAGTATTATCTGTATCTGTAATGTGTGTGTGTGTGTGTGTGTGTGTGTGTGTGTGTGTGTGTGTGTGTGTGTGTGTTAAATAGGTGAAGTACCAGCGCGGGCTGCAGGAGGTGAGGGGGCGGAGCTGCAATGAGCTGGACACACCTGAGTACAGACGTGTCAGGAAGACACAGGACTCGGTCTCCATGGTAGCAGCCTGGTTGCTGTGGTTCCCACCTGTGCAGTGGGAGGAGCTAACACAAGTGATGAGTGACGTGGCACCAAGCGTGGGACCGCAGCACGGATACTAACAAACACCAACAAGCTGACAGCACGGAGGACAGAGCAGTGTGTGTGTGTGTGTGTGTGTGTGTGTGTGTGCAAGTGACCTTAATGAGTGTGGTGTGTGTCCACAAATAAAGATTTAAAAACACTCCCTGTGTGTGTTTGTTTACTTGCTCACTGACTACATGCATCCTGACCTGTGTGTGTGTGTGTGTGTGTGTGTGTGTGTGTGTGTGTGTGTGTGTGTGTGTTGTGCTGTCTAACACTAGACTGTGTTTAAACTGTGTCTCAGTCACTGACACTGACTCCTCTGCTCTTCACAGGCAAAGTACCACGAGGACTTTGAGCGGGCGCGCGGTCGAGGCTTCACGCCGGGGTTGGACGATCCCAGCATGGAGCGCTACCAGAGAGCCAATCAGATGATGGGAGAGGCAGGCTACAACAAAGGCATGCACCACCAGGTGACAGAGATGGACAGACGACCAGGAGGCATCATCGTAGGTTAGTGAAAGAGCCTGTGTGTGTTAAGGATTCAGCGGTTGGTGTGTCTGCTGGCTGCTGTGTGGTATTGCACCAAGAAAGGGATTGGCCAGCAGAGTCACATGACACAATCATCTGATGTTGTTTAGTTGTTGAATTCTTTATTCTTCTTAGCTCTAACTGTGAACTTTGGACCTATAAAGAATGTGATGCTTCATCAATAACTTTTGTCTCCTGTAGTTTCTGTTATGTGTTATTCATATAGTGTTTCACAATAAAAGCCTCCACATGAAGCCAAAGACCCCTGAAATAACAGCAAGGTTTAGGTCTGGACCAGGTGGTTGACGTGCTGAGTCTGGTTTAAGTATTATTTTATGGTAAAGTGGAGCCACTTTCCGCTTTGTTACTTTCTTTTCATAGTTTGTTTTTTAAGTGAACAGATGAGCTGTGATTTGGATTTTTTTTTTTTTTACTTCAGCCCTCTGAGTTTATATCTGTTACGGTCAAGAACAAAGTCAGAGAAACGTCAGTTCAAATGAAGTCATGGAATATTTATCAACTTAATAATGTTGGATTGTTTCAGTCACTGCTTCTGTCCAAATCTTGTTCCCTCCTGTCTGAAGACCTGAAGGTGTGGAGGGCAGACCCAGGCTCCATCTTTGACTTTGACCCTCTTGAGGACAACATTCAGTCCAAAAGCCTCCGCAGGATGTCTGGTAGCTCTGGATCCTCAAGAAATGTTTTCAAACTAAAATATTTTGCATATTTGCATACATCTCTCATGACCCCTCATGACCCTGGTTTTACTATTAATGATTTTTAAAGTCACATTACCCTTTTACACACTAATAAACATGTTCACAAATTATTTTCCAGCCTGCTGTGTGCAAGTTTGATCCTCAGTTCACACTCTTGCATTGATCAAGTTGAAAGTTCTGCCTTTACTTTAAAAAAAATCCTTATTATCATAAAGGTCCTTTTTTAAATGTCTTTGTTTGTGACGTTAAAATAAAATAAAATAAAAATACTAAAACTGTCAACAGTCACACTGTAAGTCCAAGATTTAGAGATATTAACTGGAAATATGCTCTTGTGTAATACCAGTCTGAACCACAAGATGGCGCATTCAGCCTTTGTAGTACTCAATATAATATGTGTATATATATTTATATCATTTCATTTACCATAATTTTTAGTAGCCTGAAGACCTAAACATTACATTAAATTAGTTTGAAGTCATCTTCAGCAACACAAAATTATTTAAAATGGTAAAATGGCCTGTATTTGTATAGCGCTTTACACATGCAGTCATCCACCCGTTCACACACACATTCACACACTGGTGATGGCAGCTACATTGTAGCCACAGCCACCCAGATCCAGGTCCCTGACAGAAGCACCTAAAAGTAAGTCCAGCTGCCTTCAACTCAAGCTTTCCAGAGTTTAAACAAAAAATACATTTAAGCAAGAGTCTGGTTATAGTTAGTACCAGCACGTTGATCCTGTTAGCCAACATCCTGACTGAAGCTTTGCCGTTGCCATGTTGTGCAAAATGCATTGGATAAAATCCAAGTAAATATAGTTGATGGAAATGCAACTAACACCCAAACATTTCAGTTTACTGAAATAAAAACATGTCTAAAAAGCAGCTAAATGGAAAAATAATGTGTGCTTATGAAACCAAATGAAAATATAATTTGGGTGAAATTTGGAAGGAAACATTTTTTGCATGTAGCGTTTTATTACTAGAATCATATGTGACGGTGTTGACACTGTATGCTGAAATAAGTAACCCCCCCTCTGGAAACTAACTGAAACTAAACTGAATTAAAAATAGCAAAAAAAGAAAACTAACAGAACCATAAGTTATAATTTGAAATAGCTGATATGCTCATGCTGTTACGCACTGTTTGTTCTTATTAGAGATGTTTTCTTTGTTTTTCCTGTTGTTACTTCTGTCCCGCGCTGCCCTCCGGTGGTGGCCGGCTGTTAGAGCGAGCTGACCGCAGGCTGAGCAGGCAGCACTCCCAGCAGTCGCTCACCCTCAGCCAGGCTCAGTCTGTCAGCTCGCTGACCTCTGACCTCTGGGACCGCAGCAGCGCTGAAACTCCGGGTATCTTTCCTCCTCGGTTTTGTTTCCTCCTCACAGCAGGGTGAACGCATGGGCCGACTTATGTTTCCCGTCTCTGATCCACAGATTAAACTAACTCACTGTCTCCTCGCAGCATTGTGCATGAAGGTCACTGTGGGGGTTTTATTGTTAACATTTCACAAAGAGTTTCACAGCAACAGAGGCAGAGTTTTCCAAGAAAGCAGGACAGAGTTTTCAACTTATTTGCTCTCACGCCTCTCTCTCTCTGTGTTTCTGTGTCTCTCACCCAGCTCCTGTGCTCCCTGGAGCGTACCATCAGGGCGTCCAGATGCAGCAGCAGCAGCAGTATCACGGCTACATGCATCAGACCAGCATGTCATCTGTCAGATCTGTCACCTCTCCTCCACACTCAGGCACCATGGTACACTCTTCTGAAACAAAGTTTTTTTTGGTCTACATTTAAAGGGTTTTTTTCCCTGAGAACAAAATCCCTGAAACCCTGAAATCTGTGTCTCGGTCTTTTTGCAGCGTGTTTACCGTGCGCTGTATGACTACGTGGCTCAAGATCACGATGAGGTCTCATTCAGGGACGGCGACGTCATCATCAACGCTCAGCCCATCGACGAGGGCTGGATGTACGGCACCGTGCAGAGAACCGGCAAGTCCGGCATGCTGCCGGCAAACTACGTGGAGTGTTGCAACTAAAGCGGAGAGGAAGACGAGTTTGTGAGAGAGAGGGCCTGAAATTCACAGTTACATCCACCTTCAGCGTTATAAAAGCAGCTGGTGATGTTCTTTGCATTTCAGGGCTCATTTACATTTTCAGTGTTATGGGAAACGAGAAAGACAGGTGATAGATTGTTAGACTGTTCTGGTCAATTTTTAAAACAGGAAATTATGTTTAAAAAAATAAGTTTAATGGGTTTTAATTAGACGTGATGGATTACAAAGCTGCAGCTTCTTTGAGAATAAACACATCTGCTCAACAGCCAATCAAAGAGCAGTTTCTGCACTTAAAGGTGAAGGAAACTGACCAGGATGCAGTACAGCGGAGCAGGGTGCGCTATGATTAAAGAGGGCTGTCTGAATGCTTGGGGAAGCCTTTCCTGTATCTGATGGACACAGATACGTCTATCAGGTCCATCGCTTATTGGAAAATACATCTACTTCAGCTCCATTCAGGCCTTTTCTACAGTATCTCCAAAATTATTCTTCTTGTTATGTAAAATTAGCATTTATGTTAAAAAAAAAAGAAATTTACAAAAAATCTACACAAAATATTATGAAGCACTGTCCAGAAATATGTGCAAAGTCATGGAAATCAATTTCACTTTTTTTTGACACAGATCTTAAATTATTACATTGAACACAAATCTGTAAACTCCTGGAGTTTCATCCATGTCCGTCCGAAAGCAGCTGCAGAATCAGCATCAGTAGTAACCTCGAGGCTCTGGTCACGTCTCAAAGTTACTGTATATGGTTTGAAACAGAGTGAAAGTGCGCCGAACGAAAGGTTTGGGATCTGAGCTGGAAATGAACCACAAGCAGCTTCATGGTTCTTCTTTAGGTGGCACTGAAATATATATTTTTTAATTTAGGCATTAAAAGTTTAAGAATCTATTGGGCAGAACTGTCTGGTGTAAAAAAAAATTAATAGATAGATAAAAGATAGATAAACCTTTGTAGTTTTACACTGAGCGCTGCAATGCACTGAACATCATGAGCCGGTGATATCAGGTAATAATTGACCTGAAGGGGAATTTTCTTTTGATGAGCGGTGGATGAAGAGAAAAAAGCAGATGGAGGGATAAATCTAGCATGCTGTCATGTTTTATGAGAATATAGAAGTAGAGGAGCGAACGACAGAAGGATGCATGAAGAGAAGCAGTGAGAGAGACTAGAAACAAGTAACGTGTAACTTTTTAATCACCTGTGACAAACTAGAAGAGGAAATGAAGAAGGAATGAGCAGGATTAATCTAGTTTATAATACAACAGGAATTCAGACAAGACTCCTAAACTGCAGCTCTGGGTGTGGTCTGTGTTTTTAATACTGCCAACAACGCCCAGGAAAAGACCACAAAGCCTCGTTTCAGCTCCACATGTCGATTAATCCACAACAAATTCACTGTAATCTCACTACATCCACATAAAAGACTCATAAATGTTTCATACTTCAAATGAACATGTGATAAGCCGAATCAAAGTTCTTGTTCATTGTTGAAAACTGCTAATTAGACTCATAACTCATGATATAAGTCACTGCTTGGCAAATAATCCTAACAGGCACTGCAGTCAGCTCACATCGACACGCTGCAGAGGAGATGCTCCTTAAACATAAAGGCAAACAAATCTGAGAAAGGTTCTTACTCGGGTCATTCTTTAAATATTCAGATTACATTTGTGACTTTTACCTACTATGAAATGTTTCCGTTCTACAGTTTGCATTTTTAATTTGCATTTTTTTCCAAAATGTTTTAAGTTTAAAAGACTTTAAATAGCAGAACAAACTAAAAAAAGATTAAGTTGATTATTCCACCCTCACAAGACAAAATCCCAGATAAACAAAAACAGATCAATAAAAAAGTCCAGCAGGTCCAACAGTGGCTGCTCCATCGGCAGGTTTCTCCACCCTCAACCAAATTTCCTCTCATCAGACGCTCTGATCAAACTCACTCACTACAGAGTGGATCTGATGGATTTCCTGTTCTTATTGAATTCGTGTTCAGATGTGAGAAAGACAGTTTTAGTTTTTATTCTTTAAAATAAAAGGAAAATGCTGCCTACAGCTTCCCCCGTATTCAGAAGGCTCCCCACAGCAGGTAGCGGGTTTGTTTGGAGGGTTTTCCTGGTTCTGTGTCTGTGGCTGGAGTTGAACTGGGGATCGTTTTAACTGCTTCACTCTGGCACCACCAGAATAAAGAATACAAATGAAAACTGAATTCAAATGTTGGCGTAATGCAAATTTGATATGATGTCAACAAGTACAACGAGTTGTCCTGTTTTAGGACCATTATTAAGATGCATAGAAGAATAAGTGCTGTAAGACCTCTTACAGTCAGCAGGTGCTCATCAGGGAGCGACACCCATGAAACAGACCCCCTATTATCTGCGCACTGAGGTCTGAGGGACCTCCCAGGACCTCCCTGACACTATTTTCCACATTCCAGATATCTCTTGATCTCTAATGTCGAACACGACCTGCTCCAGAGCAGGTCTGTGGTTCTGAAAAGCCAGGATTAAACCAAAGTTACCTGGACGAGCCCAAATACTGCTCTGTCAGCCATCGATGCCACTAATGAAACAAATATGGTCACATGCTGACACGTTTATGTGATCTGAAGGGAATCCAGAAAGCACAGAGAGATGAATTGAGACACTGATGGTTTTTGGTCTTTTTATGGGTTTTGTTGGCATTAAGAAAACGACAGATTGTCAGCAGACTTTCATTTGAAAGGATGCAGAAAAAGAAGAAGAGGAGCAGGGAATGAAAATAATTAGATCTGTCTTCTCTGAGCCCGAGAATGAAAAGGAAAGAATGAAAAGTCAGAAAATACTTTTTTCTTAGCAGTGATGCAACCAAAAGGAAGGAGTGGGGCAGGCGAACAGGAACAAGGTTTAGAAACCTCGAGTTTGAGCATTTATTTATCCCGGGTTTAATTCATGTTCAGGGGAGTGTGGTTTTGTTTTTGACTTCTGATGTACAGTAACCTGTCGACAAACCACCGACAGATCATCGGTTTTAAACAGCAGCAGTAACCTCTGTGTTTGTAAAGGACTTAACTAACACACTGTGTCTTTCTGTTTCTCGTGTCATGCTGTCTGAATATCTCTGCACACAGTAAAAGTTTATATTTCCTGAAATCTGAAGAGACTGTTTAAGTACGTCGGACTGGAGATTTCTGGACGTTGCAGACTATTTTGATACACGGGCTCCTGTCCACGTTTGGGAAAGTTATATTTTACTCTTGTGTGTATCCAGTAAGTCGTGTTTTTGGGGTTTCTTGTCTTGCTGTGTGGATTGCATCCCAGTCATGTACTGAATAAATCTTCACTCAGCCATGATTTGTCATTCTAGCTGGAAACCATTTTTGCATTTTGTATGTTTTATTTCATAAAAATAGATGCAATAGAATATAATTTACTGAATATTCATGTGTTGATTGTGTTAAGTTTTGAAGAGACGCTGTTTCTTTTGTTTTTGGTTCATGCTTTGATGATTTTTTTGCTTCTAATGTCACAGTTTTTTTCTTATTTACTCAGTATATCATCACAGATTTTACTAAATTTATTTACATATTATTTGAAATTATAGATCATTCAATCTCGGCCTGTTTTGCCATGTGATAATTGCAGTGTGTTCCATATGGGAGAAATAAAAAACAAATAAACAATCAACAGAAAAGTTCATCTTATTTAGAAATATGACTCAGATCCTGTTATTGCATCTCTGAAAGTGAGACGTTTACTGATGCCAACAGCAGATATTTAGCTGTTGTGTCACATCACCTTTCATGGACAAAAATATTTCTAAAAATGTGCAATGATGATTTTTAAAATGTATTAGATGTGTTACATCTAATCTGGGGGGGAGGGAGCAAAAATAAATAAAATAAGACATCAGCTCAGCCGAATAATTACTTTAAATATGTGGACACAAGTGCAGCAAATACAGCATAAAGCTGAGCCATCAAAGGTGTGAAACACTAGGACATACAGCATGTTTGAAAACCATGACAAAGAAGCAAACTGAGGGTTTAAATACACACATAAGGTCATTAGTGACAGAGGACACATCTGGGGAAAAGAAGCACAGGTGAGCAGAATCTAACTATACAAGGGGACACAGAACTTAAAGCATGTGACATGAAGGAAAGTAAGACAGGAAGTAACAGAACACAAGACTAACACAAAAAAAAGGGTCAGAAGATGCACAGAAACGAGACTAGGAGACATCAAACAAGGAGCTAAGAAACATAAATACCTAAGTCAGAAGCACTGGAAATGCTATACCCAAAAGACTAAATAATATAACACTTGAATGTAAGCTACCTAATAAACCCAACAATAAATTGTGAAAACCACAAAACTCAAAACACGAGGTCAAAGATCCAAGAGCTCTGGTTTTTCTTGCCATTGAATGTGTGAGGTAGTTGAATGCAAGGACACTCTTAAAAAAATCAAAATAAATAAATCTTGACGTCAAGAGTTTCACTTCTGGTTAAAGTACCAGGAGATGATGTGGAAATGGTTACAGAATATATATACATGCATACAGTGTATTAGTAGTAGTATTGTTTTTGTTTTTTTAACTTTTATCTGTTTTTGTTTTATACTTTATCTCTGTGTGAAGCACGTTGTGATCTTTTATCTAGAAATAAATAAAACAAAATTTTACTTACTAACTGTTCAACACCTTTCATCCTGGTTAGTGAAGTTCAAAGTGCTGCACAGATGACTGACAGTCTGATAGTAAAACAGAGGAAAGTCTAAAGTAGCAAAACAACATGCAGTGACAAGGAATTTCAAATAAATTGTAATAAAAATAAAATTATTTTTTATAAGTGGCATTAAAACGTAATAAATCTTATAAACAGTCAGATTAAGAGTTTGCCATTAAAAATATGATGAATAAAAATAATTAGCAGTTGTTGTTTTTTTAAAATAATATTACTAATTCATAAAAAAATATTTTTTCTTTACTTTTATCATTCTTTTTCTCATATCTGTTGTGGAACATAACGCTGAACATACAACAGGAGAAAAGTGCGCACTGACAGAAAAAACAAAGAAAAAAACATCTGTATATATTGCATATTGTGATTTGGATGTGTACGTGACTGAATTGTACGTGTTTGAATGCAATTTGTGGCTACAACAGCAACAACGTTAAACTGCACTGTCCCTTTTAAATAAAGAATTAGTATTATTAATAGAAAACAGTTTAAAAAGATTAGACATTCATTTTAAAGCATCAGAAACAAGTTTTCGTTCTAGCTGCATCTGCTAATTTATTCTGACATTTCGTAGAAACTCCCAGTTTCTTTATATCTGCAACAAGAAACAGTACTATTATTCATTCTTAGAATTAAATATGAAATGTAAGTTATGAATAAAGGTCATTCTTTCAGCACTTGATCAATTAAAGTTCGTTTTTATTCTGTTTTTTTCTCGGCAGTGTTCACTTCCGGTTTTGTTTCCTTTGCATTCGTGCTTCCTAAACTTCCCCAACTTGAGCAGGAAGTCCACAACTCAGGTCAGCTGTTCTCTGTAAAAGTTATATTATTCTTAACAATCTCAACCGTGTCCAACCATTTTTATACCAACACAACTGCGACCTGAACGGGGGCTGACGCCACACCACAAACTCCACCGTGACTTCTGCGCATGCGTCATAGTTAGAGTAACGGAAGCAGTACAGCGACGCTCTTAGACAGCCTGACCGACGCTGAATGAGAACGCATTGATTTCGACTTCAAAATGATGAAATTTCTGCCGAAACTTCTGCTACTGGTGTTGTTAGCCTTTCCGGCGACTCTCCTTATCAAAGGTGAGTCTGTTTGTAAAGATACGAAGAAAAGCGCAGCGATTTAGGGGAAAAAGAAGTGTTAGCTGTCGAGCTAAGTAGCTGCTGTGAGGAAAGGGGAAGGCCGCTCTCCATTAAGCGTGCTGGTTGAAGTGAAGCGTGTATATAAAAATGAAGGGATTCATCGTAAATGTGGGGCAATTAGAGGGATATCTCCACGGTGGATTTCGTTTTCGCAAATGCCTCTTGTTGTTTCGTGTAATTTAGTGTAAGGTAGCTCACGTCAAGGTACTTTAAACGCCTGGTTAGACTGACGTGTCCTTACTGTTAGCAGGGAAGCTAAGAGGCTCAGTTAACGTGCTGCTTTATTTCAGCTCCTTTATTTCCTCTCTGTGTAAACGGAGCCTCGGAGTTGCCACACATAATATGATGTAATCAACAAAACTTGTGAAAGTTGCTGAAAAACGGGGTAAAGTTACTTTTGTTGCTACGCTAGCTTACTTAGCTTAACCCCGCAGAACTGAATCACAGAGGGACTGTTACTTCAAATGCCCGCTTAATTAATGTAAGTAGATAATTAAGTCTGTAAGAGTATGGCTTATTTACTCAATTGGTCTGCACACTGCAGCTGAACGGCTGTTTGAGGCCGATTAAGTTATCTGGATCGTATCCTGTTGGCTGTGATTGTAAGCTGTGGGTTAGTTCGGCGTTTACATGACGAAACGGACGTGTTGGCTTCCTATTTCTTTTAAGCAACACTGTTTTTACATCACGGGCCTGTGGATACGCTTTTAGAGAGTTTAACAATAGCAATTTTATATTAGGGTATTGATATTTGTAATCATAAAGTCTAACCAAGAACTTGGTGTTGTGTGGATATTATGCACATCATTATTATCACGGTTAATAATGTTGTAACAAGTTTCATTTTAATGTGTTGGTTAATCCCTGGCCTTGTGTATATGCAGACAGAGTGAGGGGAAGTAGTGGGACTAACCTGACTGTGTTATTGGGTCGCTGTCATGAGTCATAAAACTAGGCAGCATGGTGGTGCATTGGTTATCATGGTTGCAAAACAGCAAGAAGGTTCTGAGTTGGAGCATCCTGGATGGAGAAGTCTGCAGCCCAAATAGATGCATGTCAGGCAAATGGGTGACTCTAAAATGATCTTGTGTCAGTGTCTGACTCTGTTAGCTGGGGTATGCTGCCTTCATTTGGATAAGCTTTTAAACAAGTGGATAGCTGCACCCTAATTGACAGGGTGTGACTGCACTGATGAGCTGAACAAAGGTATTTGCTTTCACGCAGATCTGAATGTTAAATGTTCAAAAATGTTTGCATGCTAGTGTTATTCGTCAATTTTCTTAACTCTTTATCCAGTTCAGCGCGGGCTCCATCCACACTGAACTGGACAACAGACGACTGTTCCAGCTGTCATGGGGCGAAAGGTGTGGTGCAGCCTAGGTTATGCTCTCCATTGTCATCTCTCTGCGCGATGCAAGCCCAAACTGACGTTACAACTGCTGGCATGTGCCACACTTTGGCATCATTTCAGTTTTTCATGCTTCTCTTAACTTTTGTAATGTGCCATGTGCAGCCAGCTGGGTGGAAGAGAAAACTGTTCGATCAACTTGGTTTTTTTGTTTTTTGTAAACTAAGTTTTTAGTTGTATATCAATACCACAGTTCAAAGGTTCCCTGATTACAGCAGATGTTGAAACAGCAGAAACTTCTACACTTACACCAGCACTGATGCAGACCAGTTCAGGAGAGAACTGTGGCGAGTACAGTGTGCCTTCAAGTTCCATGTAAACGATAACTGGGATCTGGTGATATTACAGTTTGCGCTTGATACAACCAGTGAACCAGTGTGGTGACCATAAATGCCAGTAAGGTTTAAATACATGTGACTCGCTACCGTTTAGTTCTAGAACTAAAGATGGCTCTTGGGTGATAAGTGAAGTCCAGTTGCCTTCTTCACTTGACTTAGATCTGAGATGATGGTCGTCTTGGAAAATGTAGAACTGTTTTTGTTTGTTTATAATATATTTACATGTAGGGCTGCACGATTAATTGTTAGAAAATCGCGATCTCGATTCATACTTATGTGCGATCTCATTTCCAAATGACAACGATTTAAACAAAAAAAAAAAAAAAAAAAAGACAACGATGATTGTACCGCAATTTGATCCGGGACGTAATCTGCATGAAAACAAGCGCTCACTCTTCCTGCTCAACAAATGACAAGGGCGGAGCCTTATACCACGTGATACAGAAGCTGTGCCGTGTGATGCTAAAATTAGCAGGGGAAAAACAACGGAGAGCACGTCAGGGATGACGAGAAAGTGACAGGAGAAAATCCGTCCCGGTCAACCACCCAAACATCAATAACGGGAACCTTATACAGCGCTTCCCTATACACGTCGAACTCCTGCAGGCACAAAGAAATTACGGAGGCTATCACTTATCACCTGACCACAGATATGGCTCCATCAACACTGTGCAAAACGAGGGATTTAGGAAAATGATCAACACCCTAGACAAACGCTACACAGTGCTGTGTTATTTTTCTATTGTTGCACTACCTGCTCTGTACACGCAGCGTCGAGCAACGGTGGAGACGGAATTTCAAGCAGTACAACATTTTGTGGCAACAACAAAACGTGAGACATTTGTTGTTTTTATGTTTATTTATTGTTTTTATGTTCAGTCTCAACTGTTACGAAGTTGATGTGCAGTTAATAAGTGCAATAAATATTTATACTGGAAAAGAAAATCGTGAGAGAATCGTGATCTCAATTCTAAGCCAAAAAATCGTGATTCTCATTTTATGCAAAATTGTGCAGCCCTATTTACATGGATGGCTTCAGAGAGACAAACATGGAGACTT